CCACCTACGGTGGGGTCGGGGTCGGCCTGCGGCGCGTGGTCGCTTTCAGGTTACGGGGTGGTGCTTATGCTCTTCGGTGGCACAGTGATTAGTACTATGGGCGCTTGATGAGGAGGTTCTAGATTCGATCCCTGATTTGATCCCTTATTTGAGGCAATTTATGAAAAAAACATTTTTAAGTTGGTTCTGGTCAGGGTGTTCTGGGTATTGCCCTCAGAATTATCGTTACTCTGGTATTTAAAGTACAGGAAACTCCCTAGTTTGAGACCAGAAATTTGGAGTTCAAAAATGCAAAAACCTGGCATTTTTTCCCTAAATACTTCTCTTTTTGGCGTAGCTTCCAATAAAAAGAATCTAACAGAGAGAGACGGTCGAGATACAACAACGTTATAAGTTGTATAAGTAATTAAGATATTATTTTCACTACATCGGGAAGTATGCCTTACATTTTGAACAATTGTGAAATCTGGTCCTCGTATACTACCTACGTAAGGTGGCGTGCGGACGCTTCGGGCTTCGCCCTCTGCTAGAGTCTAGCAGCTAGACTAAGGCCTACGGCCTCGGCACTTATGACTTTAAAAAAATTAACATAGCTCTTTAATGGCGGCTAAATTGATAAATGGCAAAAAGTTAATTTTGACTGCAAATTATTATTAAACACCCTTAGACAACCCCTCATGGCGATTTTCAGTAGAATTATAGCAAAATTTTATCAACCGCTAAAAAAAGTTTGTAAGGCAGCCATATTGTAAAATGGCAAAAAATAAATTTTGACCGGAAGTTATTATTAAACACCCCCACATTCCGATTTTCAAGTGAATTAGAGCAAATTTTCATCTAACGCCAAAAAATATTTCTATCGCAGCCGTATTGAAAAATGGCGACAAATTAATGTTGACCACAAATTACTATCAAGCACTCCTAGAGACACAGAACACAACAGAACAATTTTTTTTCTACTGCTAACAAACGCTTGTATGGTGGCCATATTTGAAAATGGCGAAAAACCAATTTCGAGTACAAATTATTATTAGGCACTTCTACAGGCCTCCGCATGCCAATTTTCAGCTGAAACAGAGCGAGTCTCTTTCGGCAGCTATTTTTAACGAAAAAAACACTTATATGGCAATCATATTAAAAAATAGCGAAAAAAAACTTTTGACCCCAAATTATGATTAAAGACTCCTAAAGCCAATGCCAATTTTCAGTCGCATCGAAGCAAGTTTGTCTTCGGCCTCCATTTTGGATTCGCCATCTTGAAATTGAGAGAAGAGACCCTTATTACCCTCTAAGACCTTCCTTCCAGCACCTCCTACCTATCTCTAATAGTTTCCGTGACAGAAGGCTTCGAAATTTATATGGCGGCCATTTGAATTTCGAACATTTTTTACTTTCTGCAGAAATTGAGCAAGGTGTATCTCATAAAAGTGCATAAAAATCCCCCCCCCCCCATGTATTATAGTTTTTGCAGGCCGTTGATCACTCGTATATATTTTTCACATTCAGGTCTTCTTATATTTGATTCTTTGCCTTGGAGCCTATCCGCGTATAACGGTATAAATATCTTTTTTCCACCATATCGGGAAGTATGCGTTCTATTTTTCTAAATGAGTCAGGATTTGTAGCTTTATTTATATAAAATATATATAAAATAATAACGCACATACTCAACAACCATAAATTACTCCCAAACTCACGACAGAAATAAATGTAGGTCATTCACATGTTTCTACCGGTCCGGGAATCGAACCTGGGACCTCTGCGTGGCAGTGGTAACCGTTCGGCCACGGAGGCAGTTAAACTTAGGTAATCGATATAGATTACAAAATCCATCAAATGCTTTGTTAAACCATTCATCACGCCATTAGACACGTTAAGGTCGTGAGCTTTCTTCCCATATGTAGTTTCGTCATGTTTTCCTTCCCTGGTATCAAGAGGTCAATTATCTCTACTAAATAATCGCAAATATATGTAACTTAAAAATCAAAGTCATAGGTATATGGTACCGTACAATTGTGAAGCAACCATTTTCCCACCGGTCTACCACCGCTTGTCTAAACTATGTAGTTTACAAAATACTCTTGAACACACTTGATTTTCACATTTTTATAACAACTAAAGTGACCTGTATTGGAATTATAATCTATAAGTGCCAGCGGTTGTGTTTCGGAGCACATACAACCCGAGTATCTTTAAGATGCGGCGGAATAGGCCTCTTCTGGGTGCACTCTTTCCATTGCAGGTCCTATTTTTGCTCCAGAACTACGTCGTGGTCAAAAGCAAGTCCATTTGCTTAAAAATAAAATGTAATTGTAGTCCAGTCTTGCTTCGGTCGTTGCGTAACATAGTAAGAATTTTAATGCTGAGAAATGCCACTTCATGTTGAAGGCATTCAACAAAATTTCATGTCCAAAAGCAGTTTGGTGGTTATGACGCATTTTGGTTCATTTCAACATGCGATCTGTTATCACTCAAGAGTGCTGGCACGTGAGGTTCATTTTGTCATTGGAACGTGGTAAAATGTAAGTTGAAATATGTTATTGCCAATAAAGTCTTAATAGACAAAATTAATAACATATTAAATAAGACTGCTAACGGATTTTTTTATGTTATTAAGTGACGGGACGAACAAGTCGTGCGCCTGATGGTAAGCAACACGACTGTCCATAACAGTTGCAATGTCACTCAGAGCTTTAAACCGCAAAGATCTGAGGGGCATTGCCACAGCGCCCATTACCCTGAGACATAAGTTGACGAGTCCTATATGCCTGTAATTTCACCAGCACCCTTCAAAACCGGAACACGATAATGGTCACATTACTGCTTGGCGGCAGAAATAGGTAAGGTGGCAGTACTTCTATGGAAGAACACTGTCACAAGGTCTGCTACTACTAGATTGACTGCTTGTTTGCAGTTAATGCGTGAATTCGTAATCAACTTCATGTAGTCGTGATCTCGGTTGCATGAAGTTGATAACGACTCTACGCATTAACTGTAAACATGCAGTTAATCTGTTAGCAGCCTAACTAAAAACGTAATTCAGCTTGGTAGACAATAACTCTTTTAAACCAATGAGGCCATGGTTACCTAATCTTGGCGAAATGTTAAGTGCTTCCTACGTTATCAGGTCATAGTTGAGAACCCATCCAGGCATTCATTTAAGTATCAGTAATAAATAACCGAAGTTGGTGGAGCGTTAGTTAATTAAGGTTTGCACCCGGGTAACTGATAAGCCGACTCAACTGTTTCAACTAGTTTCAAATTATGGTCATCTAATAAATACCTTTATATCTTTCAAGGGTACTATTTAAGTTTTCGGTTCAATCGAGCTGGTTTGGAGTTACCACCGCGTGGTCAAGGATATTGGGCGGCTTTACATAAATTATTCATAATCGCCCATCTATTATTTACTGTTCTGTATATTCAAATAAAAAAATATTGTTACCAATATTACCTTAACATTATAATAGTGGAAGAGAACGGCCACGAAAGAGGTTCTCAGCTGAAATCAAGAATGTTCTTAAAAAAAGAATGAAGGGCTCCAATTGAAAAGATTGATAAGTGTATGGGAAGCAAGACGGGTTTACCAGGATTGTGCAAAGTGGCGATCGATACTCTCTGCCTACCCGAACGGGAATCTAGACGCGTGATTAGGTATTATGTATGTGTAAAAAAACAATATAAGATCTTATATATCTTAATTAAGTTAAAAAAATTGTAGTACGTATAAGAAAAAAAATTCTCATAAATTATTGAGATAATTTCTACTAGAACGTGTTTTCACATTTTCTGGAATAGACATTCCAGGTTCACAAAAACATTCTAAAGATTGTTTTGTTTACAGTTGGGAGGTAATATTATTTACTAGTCTCGAGTTTCTTAGCTTTGTCTGTCTTCTTTGAGTTCCCGCATATTTCGTTAGCAATTAAATCTTTTTCTTAAAAATTCAATTGTTTTCCAATGATTCAATGGTTTGCTTTCAGTTTTTACCTTAATGTGCTTTCCTTCCACATACTAAAAATCTCCTCACGCTGGATCCTTAGGAAATTTAGTAACAAATTTACATTTTCTGTGGCTGTTTATTTAAGTTGCAAAAAACGAAAACGTTTTCGCTTTCGCAAACAACATCTCATTCTAGAACAGCACTCGAAATGAGAGCGATAATCGCCCTCTCCGCAACGCGTTCGTTAAATAACATCTTTGTTAACTTGCTGACGTGTTACTGATGAGCTTGATGAGCTTTAAATTCGGCATCAAAACGGTGCGAGAACGGTAATCATGTTCTCTTTTTACGAATTTTAAAAAGAGAACAGCCGATTTGTATTTATGTTTTACTAGCTGGTGCCCGCGACTACGTCTATGTAGAAAAAGTTTTTCGAGTTCTTCTTACTGCACGATACTAATTATCAGTGTTTTATGGTTTTCCATACAAACTTTCACCTCCAATTTCACCCCCTTTAAGATTTATTTTTTTGACAAAAAGTAGCCTGTGTGCTTCTCCTAGGTCTCACCTATCTCTATTTGGTACCATAATTCATCAATATTGTTATGATTATGAATACAAAGATCGAATACACAGAAAAATTTCTTCGGCCCGGTGGGACTCGAATGCAGGACCGTGCTGTACCGTAGCACTACTCTTACCAACTGAGCCACACGTCAAGTTACCAAGCTGTCGAAATCCTCCTATGTGTTTTTGTTATAAACCTTTGTACTGGCTTTCGGCATTTGTCGCCATTAGTGACATCTAGTGAGAGATTTTTGAAAAATAATTGATAATAATCATAACAAAACGATTGCAGATATTTCACAAAAAATCTCAATAATAACCAATATTGATGAATCAATATTGGTTCAGCGGTTTAGGCGTGAAAACGTAACAGACTGAGTTAGTTACTTCCGCTTTATGTTATTTATTAGTTAGAAATATATTTGGTATTTGTTAGCTGATTTTGACGATTCTTCTTCTATTGTTACAGTCGTCAAGCCGCAATGCGAGCGGTGACGCGTGCGAGCGCCGCGACCCGTGCCAACATGGCGGGGTTTGCATTAGCACCGACGACGGTCCCATCTGCGAGTGCCGCGACGGCGACTACGAGGGCGCCTTCTGCGAGAGAGGTAAGCGCATGTTTGATCATATGAGCTTTCATACCTGGCATCCACAAGGCCGTAGTGCACCTGACCCAATTGCGATTTAAATTAATTTACCTTTACATTATATAACGTTTAGCAAGATGGTTTTGAAACGGGTAATCTCATTGTAATTGTTTGGTGCAATGTTTAGCTTAAAACGTTGAAACGGTAAATACAACTAAAATGCAAAGTTAACTTGTCACTATATAGAATGAAAGGAGGAAATGAGTACATGCAGAAAGTCATAGAAGAAAGAGGCATGGATGGACAGATGAAGCTTTATTTATTTTTTTACCAACATACATAACAACATTAAACAATAGACGAAATAATATATACAAAACTTAAATCCATTAAATACTCGAAAAAAAGCTAATGCCTACATAATAGTCTAGATTGAAAATACACTCCTGTCGGTACAGTAATAGCATTCTGTCGTGTATATATATAAAAAAAAACTTGTTCTTTGAGCTCTTTAGATGCCGTGGTCCGCACTTTTTTTTTGATTTAGCCAAAGTAACTTATTTTTGGTCGTACTCGTCCACCTTCCACTTTTACTTCAGATTTTTAATTAAGTCGTCGTACCGTGTAGGATGGCCCATCATACTTCCTCTTCGGTTTTTAATGATTTCCAATAATATGTTTTTTTAGCTTCCTTCCCTATGTTTTTTTAGCTTCCTTCCCTAGCACTAGTACCTATAGTACGTAGTTAAAAATGAATAACAAACCCGTGTGCTGCAGCAAGCGAATAGGTCAATGCTGATTTTGCCACTTATGCTTCGCCGGCTAGTGCGTGTCGTAACCTCAGCGATAGGCGCCCACTGCTGTACATAGACATTTCCAAGCAACTTGGTCCAGCAATTACCGTTCAAGGACAACAGCTGAGCTAGTAACCGGGTGGCCCACACCACGTTTAATTTCGAGGCTACCATTCAAAACGCTTATCATTCATCAGTTCTAAGCGCTGTGTGCTACTGGTACTGCTATTGAATAATAGAAACGACGTTGTATCAGCGCTGCCGCTTAAATATCTCTAGAAAATATATAAGGTTCTTTGCCTTCCCTGCTTTGATATTATACTTCAATTACAGCATATTTACCTCGAAAGTACTAACCCATTTTCAATTCGCATGTCCCCGCGTCCATTAGTCTGAACAGCAAACAGCTAAAAGCGAGGCGCTCCAGCAGCTAATGTTTTCCTCGAATGTTAAGCTAGCACGCAATGAAATATTAGACAGTTGAGCTTAGGTGGTGCGCTTGAGCAAGTAAGGACCATATTTAAAAAAAAAACTTGATGACGGCCAGAAGATATTTTTTTAATATTTATATTTAAATTGTTTTTGTTTTTTACGCACAGTATTGCAAAAACCATAACTCGTTTGACTTAATACTACTGAACTCATCTCCAACTGCGTACATACATAATTTCTACGAACTAAAAACTGAACCACGCAATCAATTTGAAACAATAAGTGGGTAATCATTAAAAAATTTAACATGAAAGGAAATAGACCTGACCATATTTTAGCTGCTGGTACTCTTGATAACAAACAAAATTTAAAAACGAAAACGGGAGCTGGGCAGGATGTATTTGCGAGACGTAGTGACGGTAGTGACGTGGAGACAGGTGGAGTGAAACGACAATCGAATGGTTGCCAAATGTGAGATGAACAGAAATTTGGTCCTGCAGTAACATGGGTAGACGATGTCGTCAAAGTCGCGAGACGTAGATAGGAGACTAAACGTAAGAGCGTAGTGGACGGCTCGAACTACGAGAGGCCTATACTTAGCAGTGGATAACGAAATGTTAGGTTTCCAATACAAAGAGTTCTATCAACCGCACATGAGAAATCATAAGTTATAATCGAGATTTTCTTCAAAACGTTTTTATGACGAGTACAAACCGCCAGCCGAAGTTTGGACCACTCGATCGGGCCCTTATATAAATCTTGGATCCCTTAAAATGAAAGAATATTCTGACACATGGGGACCTCTTGACCTGTACATACGTGCGAAGCTATGCTTACGACGGCTGTTCCTAAACCGGCGGCGCGGAAGCAGTCTCGGAGTTTAAGCCGTTTCTCGTTAATTATTGCTCGTGAACTCCCACTTCGTCTTACAACACTCACAAGATAGTATAACGTGTTATTCGATCGTTTGACGCCGTCATGAACACAACGTTTAATGTCGCTGGCCGGCAAAGTTCAAGTTTATTCAAGTCTTCTGTTTATTACTTGGCCAAGAGCACTTACTGGTAAACCGTTAATTGCAAATTTTGAACGTCTTGTTGGGGAATCGAGCAATATATTTGAACTAACTCCGCACTTAAGTGACCTCAATTAGGTACAGTATATCAACAATGTACCTATAAATAAGTTTATTATACATCCGGCGTCGTCACGAGTATCGTTCCTCCATCACGCGTAACAAGTAACGGCGATTCTTGCATTTTGTTACTTTCGAAGATTGTTTTAAGTGTTTCATCCAATTCACCGAATGATACTAAATGCAGAAATAAGTTTTTTTGTTGTTTGCTATTTTGACCAATCATTTTTACTTTCGATAAATCAAAAACATAATAACCAATAATTTTCTTATATTAGTAAGACCTCAAAAATGAGAAAATAACCTTTAATTTACTAAAAAAGCGATAGCGATCTCTCGTGCGGTGAAACGAAATTGTAAAAAAGTTATGGTCCTATGAAAATATGCCGAAGTGAAGGCAGCGGAACGAAAGGTCGCGGGTTCAAGGTTGGGGTCAATTTGACGTGGGTGGAAATCCACGAAGTAGGTGCATTAAGTAAATCTATTTTAATATTGCACCGGTTCCGTGGAAGGCGAAAGAATTCATTGCGACTTAAGTCATATAATTCTGAAAATGGGGTGCATTTGCAATTGTGGCAGGCGCCACGACGTCTCCTGATCACAAGTGGTAACATGATAATGGCGGTGATATCTTTTGTGGAAGTATAATTATAAATATGCCGCTAAATTCGTTTATTTCATGATTATGCAATAGATACTGCGAGAGGTCATTGAAATTAACAAAACTCCTAATTTCAATATGGGACATGGTTTCTCTGTACCACCAGCTTGGGATCCAGTATTTTTTCTGACGAAATACTTTTTATATACGCCTCGCCACAACAGTTGCAGTGCCACTCAGAGCTTTAAATTGCAAAGATTTGACGGGCACTACCACTGCGCTCGTCACCCAGAGACATAAGTTGACAAGTCCATGTGCCTGTAATTTCACCAGCACTCTTCCCTTCAAAACAGGAACACAGTAGGCAAGCAACATTACTGTTTGGCGACAGAAATAGGTAAGGTGGCAGTACTTCTTTGGACGAACTCTTTCACAAGGAGCTATACTGCTACTAAAAAGTCCCAAGCAGACATTTATTAATATGTTTTATATATTTCTATTTTTTTTTAAATTAATTTCAAGTAAGTGAAAAAATACAATTGTTAAAATAAAACATTCTGAAATAGAATGTAGCCTAAATTGGAATGTTCTTGGTATATTAAAAATAAAGTATTTAAACGAATAATTTTTGCAAGTAACAAACCAACATTTTGAGCACTTTACAAGGTCCCATGGTCACGACTGACTGAGGTAGTAATATGTCTAATATTAATGCAAACCAGCCGATATCGCCGAGGAACGATAACCGTCTCCCATCGAGTGGCTCTTCTGCTCGTTAGCCTCCCACTTTACATTAAAAAAAACTTATTGTAAAGAAATATTTATTTACGTAGAGCAAACCCCAGAGTTTCCGACTCGTGCACCTTATTAGTGAATCTGCCTCGCAAATGAGTAGTCATTTGCCTATCAACGAAATGTAACTATTGTGAATTGGAGTTTTTTATTTGTAACTTTGCATGTATATGCAAGCGGTGTAAAAAAACTTACACATGGCTTTAAAATGATGTCTACAAACCATGAAAGTATGCAGTTGAAAGAGTACTATAATCGAGGGCTGTAGCTCAGATGCATTGCGAGAGGTACTTTTAATAATATAAAACCGGGATTAACTTCAAACTTTGGTTTATTTCACCATTTTTATGTCTAGGGTTACGAAACAATGATCTTACTGTTAATGTCAAGATCTTCTATTTTCTTAATATTCTTTTTCAAAGAATTCTAAATACAAACTAACTCATTCAGCCAGCAATTCTACTCATAGAGTACGGCCTAGTCTACATCCCTCTTCCTCACAGCTGAAGGGGTGAACATCCCTAGCTAGTGCTCTACCTATGATAGGCAACTTACATCTGCGATCAGCCTTTACTACAGGCTAGCCACACACTGCTCGGAAGTCACTAACTTACCAACAAGTAAACCACCGAGGAGGCTATGGCTTTGGTCTGCCAAAAACCTATCTAAAAGGACAGACCATGATCACATCCTAAACAAACAAATCAAAATATTTTCACTAGTTAGCTATCCTATCTAATTAGGGAACCTGACTAAACCCTAACACTTTATTTTAGCGACCCTAAACTGGCTGAACGATCCTAATAAAAATTCTAAACATCACTACAAGTTCCTAACTATCTCAGCCTAAGCTATCTCCAACGTGCATGCTGCCACAACGACGACACAGGCTTGAACATCCATCGGACGATCACTGGGTTACATCACTATTGATCTCCCAGCTGCCTTAGTCCTCATTTTGCAGCTATCACGTTCCATCAGCTTCACTTATCATCCTTAAACAACAAGAACCAACCCACGTATAACGTCAACAACATATTCTAACTACATGTCCTCAGACATACATATGGTATGAGGGTATACCACATGAAGAATTTCTAATAATTAAATAAATATATTTTCCCAGAATGCAGACAGTCCTTGATCAACTGGAGGGATGAGCAGGAACTATTCGCACATACAGGATAATATATCTATCAAATTAAAAAAATATATATAAGAAAAACAAAAGTAAATGTTATCTATTTGATGGTGTATCCTCTCCTCC